TAAAATGGTCCAGCAAGAAGTTAAAATTTTAATGTTATTTCTCAGAGGTTTGCAAGCAGTGGCCAATAAATTACTGCAAATGTCCATGCACTCTTCCTTGAAAGATTCTGGGATGGCTGCCAGCAAGTTTCAGTGCACCAGACAGGGAGTGCAGGCATCACAAATGCCGAATGCTTGCTCATTCATGGCAAATTTGAATATTCCAAGTACATGGAATACCTTCTTAAATAGCTGATAATTTAAAGTATCCCCTGGGCTTAAAAACCAGAATATTTTTCCTACTCTTCTTCATTTAGGAGCCAAGTTGTCTGTTGCATGCAAACTGCACACATTCCTTCATTTCACAATCTAATTCAGATCTACATTCCTACCTTCCCTCTCTGTGACAAATGACATTTTCCCTCGCATGTTACGCAATGTAATTGTTGGTCACTGCAGTGAAAGGTTTTCTTATTAAACCCTTTTTTAAAATGCTAGTGAAACTTATAGCATGTTATTTATCACTGGAATAAGCTGCTCTTTTCCATTGATTTCAGTGAAGCAGTGTCCAATAGTTTGGCCTGCTTTTGCTACTTGACCTGTACCACAGTTGGTAATTGGTTTGCCTGTCCATAATAGGCCTATATATTTTGCCCTTTGTTCCATGAAAACAGTTATAATCCTACTGAAATCTTGATCTTTTGTTCCTCTAAAATAATCTGCTGTATTGAGGAGATTTGTCTTGGTACTGTGATCCTACAGTAAATGCAAATTGCAAGATCTTCTTAGCTCATTAGAAGGATTTAGATAGCTCCCAAGTTTCCAGGTATATTTAACACATTGCTTATTGTGATATCATTAAGCATGTGCAGTGGAACAGTCAAAACCATCATCCATATGTGTTGAAGTCTAAAAGCCACAGGGTTTGGTCAAAATTTGGTATGGAGAAGAATTATTTTGTCGGTGTCAGAGCATTTAGATGATTTAACCAGTGGAAGATGAGACTAGGAAATTATATTTCATTTGTTATTGCCATATAATTGTGAGAATATCATTATGTTGGTAATCCAAATATTCTTTGTTACAATGTTGAGATCATAGAATGGTTTGGACTGGAAGGGACTTAGAGATCATCCAGTTCCAGTGCCCTTGCTGTGGACAGAGACTCCTTGCACCAGACCAGGTTGCTCAAAACCCATCCAACCTAGAACACTTCCAGGAATGGGGCATCCACAACCTCTCTGGATAACCTTTTCCAGTGTTTCAACAGCCTCACAGTAATGAATTTCTTCCTAATATATAATCTAAACCTATCTTTTTTTTTTTTTGTATGAAGCAATATCCCCTTGTCCTATCACTACTTGCCCTTGTAAAAAGTCCCTCTCCAGCTTATTTGTGTATTTTCCAACTCAAGTTGAGCCACACCATAGCTTCAGTCAGATACAGCATTGCTCTGAATGTCTTTGATGGCTTTTACAGTGCCTATAGTTTACCTGCAGATCTTTAGCAGTATTGACCCCAGCGTTACCCTGTGGGGAACACAAATATTAACCAGCTACCAGTTGTACTTGGAATTGCTGACCATTTTCATCAAGTCTCAGATATTCAAGTTATCTACTGAATTTGTAGTCCACCTATTCCATTATATCTCAGAAATCTGGCTGCAAGGATGCTATGCATCACTTTCAAAAATCAGCAGATGCCTCTGCTGCCTTCACCTCATCCAGCAAGACAGATGTCTCATCAAAGCCAGTTCTGAGGTTGGTCTGGTTAAATCTATTCTGGATGTTCCCAGTCACCCCCATGTCTGTCTGCGTATTGCTTCCAAGAAGGATTTGACCCTTAATTTCATCATAGGCTGACCAGTCTGCAGCTGCCCGAATCCTCCTAGCCTTGCCTTGCCTTGCCTTGTCTTGTAGATGGCTTTGACATGTGGTATAGGAATACCATGGCAAGGTGGCTGCCATCTCTTACACCTTAGCTCTGCTCTGTGACTGATGCATGAAAAAGTGTAGAATGATCAGATGTGAATTTGAAGCAGATAAAGTGTTAAAAGCAACCCTAACAGACCAACTGTCTTATTAAAATTAATCAGTGACCAGCAGCAGAGGTTTTCTTCTCAATCTTGAAGGCCTCCTTTTTCAGAATAAAACTTGGCATTAGCTGTCGTCTCTGATTTCAGTGCCTACCTCTGATTAAGATCATAGAATCACAAAATATTTTGAGGAAAGCTTCAAGGTAAACACATGCCGTAAAGCTATGTGAAATGAGGATGGTTTTATTTAGAGGATTTAAGGGAAGGAAGGGGCAAACATTGGCCCCCAAGTATCCAGTTTAGTGCTCCAGTGCATCTCTTTCATGTTTGCCTTACTTTTAAGCTGTCTCTGATGCAGACATTCTGCAATAATACCTGGTAATTATTTGCATCCAGTCTAAAGAACCTTTTAGTTCTAGTTTTAAATTAAGGACTCCAGTGGTTTCAGACCTTGATAAGTAAAGCAGCTGGATTTCACACCAATCACACCAAGGCTCGGTTACATTTTAGTCACAGCAGTGAAGTGATGCATGAAACTGACTGTACTGTAAAATCTCATTCTTATTTGGATGAGGAAATGGACTAGCTCCAGACAGTAAAACAATCCAAAGACAGGAAAAAATGCATATTAAAGCTTTCAGGAGAGAGAGTTCTTTAGAATAAAATGTGCTCTTTTGTTGGGGGGCAATAAACTGTGGTCTAGAGTTTAGGATTTAATTAGGCAATGGGAACTGTTCTTGTGTGTCAGTGTGATGCTACCAGAGTACAGGATACATTGTTCAGAGTACTCTGCATGCTCACCTTATTCCCATCAAGCACTGCAGTTCTGTAGAGCAGAGTAAAAAAGGGTGTAGGTGTTTACCTCCAAATAAATTTTAATAGAGGATAACTTGTTTGTCTTTTAAATTGTTTATTTAGGCTTTTCTTCTCTGCTTGAGATTTCTCATTTTCATTTTCAACATCACTAAAGTAAGACCTTTCTGCTTATCTGATTATCTTATAGATATTCCCCTGGATTGCTGCAGTGTCAGTGTGGATGATCCAGGCTTTCCCCTCAAGAAATCTCATTAGTGATGAAGGCAGCAAATTTTCAGCCCTCTTCTTCCTTTAGTAGATTTTTCTGTCACATCAGTTGGCTGAAGTGAATAGTAGCCTGCTAGTGCTTTGCTTTACCAGTTAGCAAAGCTGATGGCAAAGGTCCTGGTGAGAATGTTTAGAGGTATGGGAAACACTTCCTTGTGGAAAGAATTAGCCTGAAAGCCTGCAGTGAAAAGAGGTGGCTTTGAAGAATGACAGTGGAGAAGAAAATATAATCTGTTAAAACAAAGAAATCAATATACCCTGGACTTGCCAGTCCTGGCTAAGGACACTCACAGTGTATTTTTCTCTCAGTGCATGAGTATACCACCAGTCCCATTGATTTTGTGCTTACAGCAAGAGGATGATCTATACCTCTTCTGGAGAGATGCTAGCTCTCGGGAGAGAACCACTGAGATTTCATGGGGGAATGTATCATAATTGCTATAAAATAGCAGTTTATCTGCTAAATTCCCATTGACTGAGATAACACCTTGTCAAAAAAGTGAATCTGCTACGATTTTCTATAATGACATTTCTGATATTGATGTATCCTTGTCTCTTGCATTTCAGCCTTTTTGTTATCTCCAAGTTAGGATGTAAAGGTGCATGATGTTTACAAATCAACCACTTTTTCCACAATTAACTTAGTGATGTTGACAAGGCCTGAGTCACAGAAAGTATGAAGTGTCTTTGTTATAAGGTTTCACATATTTGTATTAAAGCACAAGCATAAGTGTTCTCAGAAGCAGAGGTTATGTTGACCTGTTAAACATGCCCTGAAAATCTGATATGTTCACAAACACTAGACTGTTATCTCAGTTCTTATTTGAGCCATCCCTGTTTTCCTGTTGATGCTTCTGTTAGCAAATACTGTTTGGAGTCAAACTCAACATAAGTTCACATGCCCCCCACTCCTGAATGAATTACTGAGCTTTGAACACTTAGTTGGTAGACAAAATACTAAGGCAAAAAAGAAGACAGAAAAGGAAGGAAAAAGAAATCTATTTCTATAGAAATAGTACTCATTAAATTTGTTGCTTTTGTCTGTGTCACAATTGTGGAAAATATATTTACAAAAGTGGTTTTTGGTTTAGTTTTAGTTTTACAAGCCAAAGCTAGAAACAGCGTTTAAACTTACATTTGATAGTCTATAAGTTATTTTTGTGGCTGGCTTTACCACTTGTTTACTTGACAGATCTCACATACTAGGCATTTAAACATCAGTCAACTACTGGCACTCAATGGGCCTATTAATTTTAATTGTATTTATTTGTATGCCTCTTATAGTAACACTTACCAGATAAAATTAATGCTGCTTAGATTGATTTCTCCATCTAAAAATGAAGTATCTAAATTCTATTAATAAACAGTACAGACAGGCAACTTGAGGAAGAAAGTCATGCAGGCTGTCCTAAATACTCTTGCCATGGAAGGGATGAATCACTCCCCAAAAATGTTTCTCTAGTGACCACAGGAAGGGCCTTGGTTTTGCTTATAATAAAAAAAAATAGAACCTAGCATCTAAGTAAGCCAGGTGTAAACAGAGAAGGGAAGAGAGTGTCAGAGGTGGATCTCTTGCCCAAGGATCCAACTATGTGGAGTGACAAAGCAAATAAAATTATCAGTCTTCAGCTTTCAGGACAGTATTTTACTGCAAACCTTCCCTGCACCTTTATAGTCAGTGTGATCTATGCTATGGCAGTCAGTGGGAGAAGGATGACAGCCTGGATGGCCACCTGTAATGATTTAAATTTGGTAGGCTTATCTGTTCAGAAATCACTCCTGTAGTTCACATATTTTTCAACCAGCACCCCATTATTCTGTGTTATTGACTGCCCGGGGAGCAGCATCAGCCAGAGGAATGTCCCGCACTCACCTCACTAATGAAGCTTCTTTTGCATTGCAGTTGACCTGGACAGGTTGAATGATGATGTGAAGCGTTACAGCTGCACTCCAAGGAACTACTCTGTCAATTTAAGGGAGGAGCTGAAGCTGACAAATGTCGTTTTCTTCCCCCGCTGCCTCCTTGTCCAGCGCTGCGGCGGAAACTGTGGCTGTGGCACTCCAAACTGGAAATCCTGCACCTGTGTGTCGGGGAAAACTGTGAAAAAGTATCATGAGGTATTTTCATTCTTTCTTTGACACTTCTTTTGGGTATTTATTGCTTCCATGGAATCTGAAGTCTTTTCTCAGAACTGTGTGTGCTGCTTGTTAAGAGACTATGCATGTATGAGAAAGGGGTGTTGGCAGTATTTATGTGTAAGTTAACTCAGAAGAAGTTGGAGAGAACTTTTGCCACCTCCGAGTGGATGCCACCACAGCGAACTTGGAGAACCACTCATCCTAGTGAACTTTGTTTCAAGAATGAGCCTTATGTTAGACTGATTTTTCCCAGTCAAGGACTAATACAAAGTAAATGTATATACCACTGGAAATACTCTTTTTAGTAGCACAGAGACATGGGTTCCTTGAGATACTTGGCTTCATTTCCTCTTTCTTTAAACTTATGCTCACACTTGGAAATTACAATTAAGTCACTTGTAAACTCTCTTCCCTTCCAAATTTATTACTTATATATTACTAAAGCTGAATCATTCAGCCTTTGCTTTTTTTCCCCCCTCAGCAATTTTTCAGGAAAGCAAAATTTTTGCATAGGAACGATATTACTGCGCCTGAGTGGGCCGCCATGGTGAGAGAGAGACGAGAATCTTGTTTCTTGATCAGAAGGCTGGATTTATTGATATATGATATATTATACATTATAACTATACTAAATAAGAATCAAGAGAGAGGTTTGCAGATGCTAGCTACAGCTAAGAATAGAAAAGAAAGAATCTAAAACAAAGTTGTGTCCAGGGACTCAGTCCCCTAGCTTGCACTGATGATTGGCCCTTAATTATAAACATGCACATGAGACCAATCACAGAGGCCCCTGTTACATTCCACAGCAGCTGATAACAATTGTTTACCTTGTCTTCTGGGGCCCTTTGCTTCCCAGAAGATACAGAAATCTGAAAGAAAGGATTTCTGTGGAAAAATGTCTGCAACAGAACAATGCCCATTATTTAATCCATTCAGGATGCATCTAGAGAGGAAAAAACACAATGAAAGAGTATTTTGTATTCTTACCACTAACACAGTATTTTCAGATCAAGACATGAGCAATGTTTGTTCCCTAAAGTGAGCATATCTAAGAAAGTTACTTGGTAGGTGCCTTCCAGTTGTTGGAAGGTAGGGTAGCTGCATGCCATGCTGACTTAGTTCTGACACATATCTTTGTAAGAGCCTGATTTACCACTTGGCTTAAGGCCCAAGAGAAAATGGACTTGATGGACTTTAAACCTGGATGTAATGCAGGCTCATAACATTAAGGCATTATCTTGAGAGACCCTGGGGCTGCAATGGCAGAGGGTTGTTGAGGGCCAGAGCAGTGTGGTCACTTTTTTCAAAGGTAAGAGATATTTTCTTACACATAACTGCATACTCCACATACTAGGACTGGAGAACAGTTAATATTTTCTCTAATTTTAAACAAGATGCAAGGGATGAGCCTAGTAATTACAGAGCAGAAAGCCTTATCTCAGTGGTAGAAAAGTTAATTGGAAAAAAATTAATAGTATAAAGCACCTAGATGACTATGAGCTGATAAAATTAGCTCAGAATGCCTTATATATGAAAAAATATTTATACAGCGCCACAATATTTACACAAGAATGCTAAAAGGACTGGCATCTCCTGCAGAGAGCAAACAGTCAGCCAGACAAGATCAGACATGGATTAGAAGGTGGTTAAGAGATAAGGAGCAACGAGGTGGAAGAGACAAGCAATTTTCTAAATGGGAAAGGGCTATCTGAGGGTGCCCCCAGTACAAAGATTTCATGTATTATTTCATGTGTGTTCAGTCTGGAGGGAGGTGAACAGAGAGGTGGCAAAAATGACAGGTGGCACAGGAGATAACATACTTGAACAGCAGAGAAGGCTGTGAGGAATTTCAGAAGGTCTTCGTAAATGCTTATAAATGCAGTTTAGAAAAGCAGCAAGCATTAGGATGAGACATCTCAACTATTCATTCATGCAACTCTGGGTGTGTGAGGGGAGGAGGAAGAAATGACGGGTGGAAATTGGGCTAAAGGTCAAGCAGTGAATCACTGTGAAGAGCTTCAGGGAGACAGTTTAGTGCAGTGATAAGAAAAAGACAAGTGACAGTCTTCTGCAGGAATGGAGATGAAGGGGTAATAACACAGTAAATATTGTGGTCTGGATAAATTGTTGGGGGACTTAAGCATTGGTGCTTAAAAGGACAAAGGCAGCACTAGAAAAAATAAATAGAAGCAGCAAGCATACATCATGAGAGATGTAGGGAAAGATATAGATCAAAAACATTTTCAAGGAAAAGTGGCTCAAAAATTCTGGAGCATTTCATTTAGAAAAAAAAAACTAAAGAGAGGACACTGAAAGATAGGAAATAATGAATAGTAGCTAAAGGAAAATTATACCTTCCTAAGTAATCTTTTCGTTAAGAAAAGAACAAGAGAGAGACTGTAAGGAAACGAATTTAAAATTATAAAAAGGAATTGGTGGTTTTTTTTCATGGTAAATCTGTATGGAATTTCAACACTTAAATATGAGTTGTGCATAATTCAGAAGATTTCTGAAAGAACTAGAAGTCAAATATAAACTAAGGAATCCTGGGTTACAGCTGTATCAAAAATTAAGTCAACTGTTGACAGTAGCTAGAAAGAAAAGTTCTGATTATAAATATGTTGTAAAGCACTTTTTTTCAGGTGTTTGGAAACAGGTAGTGTTGGAATACCAGAATATCACACTAACTAGGTATTGCTCAGCATCAGGATATCATGACTTATGACTGCTCCAAATTAATCACGAAATTCAGGAAATTCAACATTCAACATGCACACAAATATATCACTGCTAATTTATTTTCCTGCTCATTTCTACTCTGAAAACCATATGAATTCAAGACAGTGTTTCATCTTTAACATTAAATGGCCTTTTTAAGTTTAAATTTAAATTTTATCCCTTAGGGATGAATTACCAGCTCACTGAGCAGATACTTAGCCTAGTGTCTCCCATTAACATGAGTGGAAGTCATGCAGATAAATTCATGTATGACATACTAAAGATGTGTCCATTAATTTTAGTCCAAAATGTTTTCCACTTTATTATTATTATTAGCCACACACAGTTAATCAGTTTTATTCTTATTCTCCTTTGACACTTTAATTTTACTTAAATACCAGGTGGAAAAGGCACTGAGGAGAGGCCTCTCCACATGCCAGTTTTAGAACTGTAGAGTCAGTTTACTCTCTTAAAAGCCTATTTGAAACCCACTAACCTTATCCAAAGAGCGTTTACTTGCGTAACGAAGGATGGAGCTTTACACTTATGAAATCCCCAGCACCATTAATTTGGTTAAAAAGCTCAGCCTTCTACTGCCTGAGGACATAGGCCAGATTCAAACACAAGTCTCAGTGAATTTGATTTACAGAAGACTCCAGAAGGAAATACTAGGTGTTGGAGCAAAGAAGGTGTTTGTAGTAGATGAGACTTGAGTCCTGCAGACCCTGAACTCCTTCTCTTGCCAGACAGATTTTCCCTATCCTGGAGCTTCTTCTGCTGAGCTCCTGAACCTGCAAGAGCTTTGTGTCCTGCACATGGATATGCTTGTCCTCAAAAGTAAAAGTGTCTCTGGAGATCACTTAAAAGTTCCCTGGCATTTCTGAGCTACCCAGAATTTCTGTGTGAGAAAGACGGGCAAATTTTCCAGAAGCAATAGGCTTCTTTTTGGCTTTGTGGCCAGTGCTGGAGTAGCTGCATGTTGGCAGCCGTGGGGACCCTAGAGTCCAGGGTGTTTCTTGAAAGAGAGGCTTCTAGTCCAGAGAGATTTCAAGGTTATCTTCTCCTTATGCTCTTACTGCTTTTTAGTTCACTCTGAGTTCCTGTTCAAAGCCTCCCAGTGTAATCGCTGATCACTCTGTCCTAGCCTGGCCTCTCAGGACTAATAGCTGTCATGTGGAGCCTTTAATTCTCCCAAGCTGGAGAGTGCTGCTCCAGTTTCCTGAACAGAATGTACAGCTCTTTTCTATCATGTCTGACTGTGGGAAGTGATGCAAAAACAGGGAAAATGAGAACATGAGATAGCCACAATAAGGGGTAACTTTTTCTTTATTGCCCTGGGAGATGTTAATCATGAGATCTTTGGTCTTCTTTATAGCCTGGAAGTTTGCCCTGACTTTACCAAAATACTCAGCAGTTTTCAGAAATGAATGGGGTCATAACTTGGGTAAACAGATAGTTTTATTGGTGGGGTTGGATTTTTTTTTTCCCTTGCAGGAGTCTTGTGATGCTCTGTGGTTTTCCATGGCTTCTGGGTTTGCTTTGGAGCAGAGCAAATACTCTGGACAAATACTCATGACTCACCACATAGTGTCACGAACCCTTCAAACCAAACAGGCCAAGTCCTGGCAGTGTCTAAAAACGTCTCTCAAGCATAGTCTGCCATAAGTGATACTGAGTTATGTTGCAATGCTCTGTGCAAGGGAAGGACAAAGCAGTGCATGGAAGTGGATGCAGCACACCTTAATCAAAGCTCAGCCCTACAGCTGTCTTAACTTTCTAAAGCGGACCTGATATAAAAATGTGCTTCCCATTGCAGTTAATTTCCTTAAAAATGCCTGGAGCTTCTCTTTAAAGAGGTGCAGGCTCTAAACCTGGAGTTTACTCAGCACAGAGAAGGTGTGGGGGAACTCAGGCCAGGACTCAGTTGAGCAGTGGCTGTGGCTGTGCCATCCAGCCAGCATGTCTCAGAGAAACAAGAAATCAGTTTCCCCATCTCATTGCTGTAACTGATGAGATGTGAAATGAGTTTCCCTGGGGAATAAGTGCTTTTAAGGTAGCAACCAGAATTTGTCAGAATGTATAAACTTCTGCAAACACAGTGCTGAGTTGCACACCTAAGGGACATAAAAGGAAAAAAGAAAAGTGGTGATAGCTGATTGCAGCTTTTACCTACTTATTTGTCTCTCCTGTAAATCCTGATGTGTTGTCGACTGTCTATAAGGCGATTCTTCCCCCACCCCTTTTTGAAGCATTATGCTTCA